TACTAGCGCACAGCAGAACTTAGTAGCATTAGCCATATGATTCTGGCTTTACAGTTAAGGATAGAAGAAAGGAGTTATGAAGTAAAGCTGCTGAGGCCAGGCATGTATCAGGAGTGTCCCGGAATGGAGGCCTAAGAAGCCATTGCATGAAGCTGTCATGTTGAAACCTAGAATGCCATGGATAACCCAAGATGTTAGAGATGGCAGAGATTGGGGATACCTGCCGAGGAGAGTTTCTAACAGGGAGTAGAAACAGACCAAGAGAAAGAATTATGTTGTAGTCAACAAAGCTAAATGCAGTTGGAGATCTGGAGAGCATGTTAACATTATACATGGAGCAGCAGACATTGGAGTTTTCCCAGCTGGTTTTTGGTCTTGCTTTGGTCCAATATTTCCTCACTATGCTCCTTTCTCTTCATTTTGGAATGGTAGTGTGTATACTGGGCCATTATATGTTGGAAGCATGTGATCTTTTTCTTTTTTAAATAGATGATTACAGTTAAGAGCTTCTATGAGTCTCTGAAGAAACTCTGAAATTTGGAATTTTAAGCATTGTTGAGACAGTGATGGACAATATAGAATTTTGAAGTTTGACTGAATGCATTTTTGCATGATAATATGCCTACAAGCCTTTGGGGGCCAGAGAATGGAATGAAAGAAAATGATCCCCCAAAGGGAGTGTCACTATTAGGAGGTGTGGCTTTGATGGAGTGGGTGTGGCTTTGTTAGAGGAATTCTGTCACTGTGGGGGCAGAGTTGAGGTTTTCTATGTTCAGGATATCATCCAGTGTCTTAGTCAACTTCCTGTTGCCTGTAAGATGTAAGATGCTCAGCTACTCCTCCAGCACCACATCTGCCTGCATGCCACCATGTTCCCTGTTGTGAGGATAATGAACTGAACCTCTGAAACTGTCAGGGAACCACCTCAATTACATTTCTTTTTTTAAGGTTCACTTGATATTTAAAGTTTTTTTTTTTTCTTTTTACATACTGCCCACTGTTTCCCCTCCCTCCTCTTATACTCTCCTGCAACTCCCCCCATCCAACCCCTCCCAACTCATCATAGGGGATAAGGCTTCCCTTGTGTATTCAACATAGGCTGTCATTCCAAGTGGGGCCAGGCCCAAGCCCTGCCCCCCTGCATCAGGGCTGAGTAAGGCATGGCAGCATAGGGAATGGGCTCTAAAGAAGCCACTTCATGTACTCAGGATGAGTCCTGGTCTGATTGCCAGGGGACTCACAAACAGATCAAGCCACACATCTGTCACCTTCAATCAAGAGGCCTAGTGCAGTCCCATGCAGGCTCCCCAGCTGTCAGTCTAGAGTCTATGAGCTCCCACTAGCTTGGGTCAGCTGTCTCTGTGGTTTTTCCCATCATAATTGTAGCTAGAGTTTTCCTGCCTTGCCCACAGTCAGAATAAATCTTTGTCACCCGCCAGTCCCATAGCCGCTCAGACCCAACCAAGTAAACACAGAGACTTATATTGCATACAAACTGTATGGCCGTGGCAGGCTTCTTGCTAACTGTTCTTATAGCTTAAATTAATCCATTTCCATAAATCTATACTTTACCACGTGGCTGGTGGCTTACCGGCGTCTTCACATGCTACTGGTCATGGCGGTGGCTGGCAGTGTCTTTCTGCCTCAGCCTTCTGCTTCCCAGAATTCTCCTCTCTCCTTGTCCCACCTACTTCCTGCCTGGCCACTGACCAATCAGTGTTTTATTTATTGACCAATCAGAGCAATTTGACATACAGACCATCCCATAGCACATAATCTTATTCCCCCTTGCTCATATAGTGCCTCTTCCCTCTCTTCAACTAAAAATTCCAGGAACCTGGCCAAGTGCTTGCCTGTGACTCTCTGTATCTGTTTCGATCAATTGCTGGATATAGGTTCTATGATTACAATTAGAACAGTCAGCAATCAAAGCACAGGTGAATGCTAGTTAAGCACCCTCTCCACCATTGCTATGAGTCTTAGCTGGGGACAACCTTGTGGGCTCCTGGGGATTTCTCTAGCACCAGATTTCTCCCTAACCCCATAATGGCTCATTCTGTCAAGGTATCTCTTTTACTGTTCTTCCTCTCTGTCCCTCCCTGAAACCAGACATCTCAAGTGGTCATAGCATCTCTTCACAGCAATAAAAACCCTAACTGGTTCCCAATACTATTGTTTATGATACTATTATAAGCACTAAGAACACACTGAAACACAAAGAAAACAAGACATTAACAGTGTTATTTCTATTTTATTTTTATTTTTTGTTTTTCAAGACAGGGTTTCTCTGTGTTGTTTTGGTGCCTGTCCTGAATCTGGCTCTGTAAATCAGGCTGGCCTCAAACTTATAGAGATCCACCTGGCTCTGCCTCCCAAGTGCTGGGATTAAAGGTGTGAGCCACTGCCACCTGGCTAACAGTGTTAATTTCTTGTGACATGTCAGAACACAAATTATAAAGACATACCATTGGCAAAGTATTTTATAGACTTTGTAATCTTTTCCTTGATCTTTCCTCCATCATCTGTCCTTAACTATGGAATGTTTTTGAGATACATAGATGCCTTTTATCTGAAAAATTACTCCACATACCAAGTCATAGTAACTCATCATCCACAAAATAATTGCAACCTAAACATTACCCAGGGACCTGAAACTTAACCTGTCAATAAAATATCATGGGATTTCTTCTTTTCACTATTTGTGTATTCCTTCATATCTCCTCAGCCCATTACCAATAACCAAATTTAGTCTGTACTATATTGATCTGAATGAAATAACATTCTTCCTGATAATGAAAGTTAAATATCAGATAGTCATGTTTCATGTTATGTACTATCATCTTCTTTGTGCTTTTATTATTATTATTATTATTATTATTATTGTTATTATTATTATTATTATTTTGCTGATGTTTTGCTGTTTTTGAGACAGGGATTCTTTTTGTAGCTCTGCTTGTCCTAGAACTTGCTCTGTATTTCAGGATGGCCTTGAACTCAGAGATCTGCCTGCCTCTGCCTCTTGAGGACTGGGATCAAAGACATAAGGCTTCTAATGGTGGAACTGGGATAGCAAGCAAGCCAGAAAACCTATGACCTACAACTTGTCTTGCTTGTAAGTTATTTTGGGGGAAATGTTGTCTCAGAGCTTTTGGGAATGACCAACAAATGATTGATATAAGGAGAGGGAACCCATGTCTAACATTACCTGGATAGTTAGGAACAAGAAACTGGATGGCCTAGAGATGTAGGGTAAAGCCAAACATGACTGACAAAAAAAAAAAGAAAGGAAAGAAAAGAAAAGAAAGGCAATGAAGTGATTCCTAATAAAATTCTGCTGTACTCATGATTAGTACCTAACCAAATCTCTATCAGAGAGTCTTCCTCCCCAAGGTGATAGAGAGACTATAGCAGGAATCTTAAAAGTTCTTATTAATAAAATCAAACCTGAGGCGAGTTATTGGGGTCCATGCTGGTAGATCAGAGAGACAGAACAAGCCACAGCTATCTCACCTCGCCGGATCCTCAGCTGGTCCTGTCTCCTCAGACTGGAGGCCTCTGAGTCCTTATCCGGAATGGGTCTCAGCTGAATGCTGAGCCTGAATGCTTAACCAGCCAAAATCTTCTAGTTTTTGGTTCTCACGCCTTATATATCTTTTTGCTTTCTACCACCACTCCCTGGGATTAAAGGCTGGCTTTCTGGGATTAAAGGCGTGTGTCACCATGCTTGGCTATTTCCAATGTGGCCTTGAACTCACAGAGATCCAGAGGGATTTCTATCTCTGGAATGCTAGGATTAAAGGTGTGAGTGCCACCATTTTCTAGCCTTTGTATTTAGTGGCTGTCTGTTCTCTGACCCCAGATAACTTTATTAGAGTACACAAGATCTTGGGGAACACAATACCACCACAAGAGACCCACAGCAAAACATCATTACATAGAGCTAGGGGAACATAAGAGGAGAGGTAGAATTGTATGAGCAAGAGGGTTCAAGGACACCAGGAACACAGCCCACATAATCAATTAAGCAGGTCTCATAAAGGCTCGCCGAGACTAAAGTGACAAAATGTACCCTGTATGGGTCTGTACCAAGCTCTCTGCATGTATGTTATGGTTATTTAGCTTGAGGTGCTTTTGGGAGTCCTAACAGTGAGATTGGGGTTTGCTGTGGTGTCCTGTATGCTGTGAATATATGTTGCTATGATTGATTGATAAATAAAACGCTGATTGGCCAGTAGCCTGGCAAAAAGTATAGGATAGGTGTGACAGAGAAGAGAGGCTGGGAGGTGGAAGCCAAAAAGAGACTCGAATCTGCTGTCCAAAAACCAACATGTAAAGGCAACAAGTAAAGCCATGGAACATGTGGCGACATATAAATTAACAAAAATGGGCTGAGTTAAGTGTAAGAGATAGTCAGTGTAAGGCCTGAGCTAATGGCCTAGCAATTTAATTAATATAAGTTTCTAAGTGATTATTTTATAAGTGGTTGTGTGTGGGGGTCTGTGGGGCTGGGTAGGGCTGGAGAAAACTCCAGCTACAGGGCTTATCCCTGACTCTTGCTTGCTCTTGCGAAACTTTCCTCTTCCCTGGATGTCTCATTCGACCTTGATGTGAGGCTGTATGCCTAGTCTTATCACATTTTGTTATGCCATGTTTGGTTGATATCTCTGGGAGGCTTGCACTTTTCTGAAGGGAACCTAGGAGAAGTGGATATGAGAGAGAGGAATGGTGTGTGTCGGGGGGTGGGGGGGACGGGGAGGAATGGAGGGAGGGGAGGCTACATTTAGGATCTATGGTATGAGAGAAGAATAAAGAAATAAAAAAGAAAACACCATCAATTACTAATACTTGCATCTCAAAGCACAAATAATACATTCCCAACTCATTCCCATTGCTCATTAAGTAGAAAGCTCAAACTGTTTTTACACAAAAGAAGGAAATTATCATTCTAGGAGAGGAAGGAAAACTCAGCTTTAACCAAGGATATACAATGATAGCCTCAGTCCTCCTGTCAGGATTTCATTGGCATTCCTTCTCACTCTCATCAGTGGCTACTCCATGGCTCGTTTTATATTGCAGCAATCCTGAAATCACATATTCTTATGTACTTCATCACTGCATGTGCTCTTCTTTCATTAGAGTCTTCCCACCTTTCTTCATCACTGAGAATGCTTGCTTTCTAAAAGGAGAGAAACAAAAGTCATGGATTTGGGTGGCTGGGGAGGTGGGAAGCATCAAGTAACTGGAGGAAAGGAACCATCAGCTTATATTGTATGAAAAAATTTGGTCAATACAAAACAAACAAACAAAATTCAAAAACAACAACAATAAGAGAAAATGCTACTCTGCTCTCTCTCTTTATCCCTACTTTAGCAGTGGTGGCACACACCTTTAATCCCAGCACTTGAGATCTCACACCTTTAATCCCAGGAAGTGACAGCTGGGCTCAGCAAGGTATATAAGGCATGAGGAGACAGAAACTAAGGGTCTTTCAGCTGAGGAAAGCGTTTAAGGTTGAGGAGTCCTAGAGGTAAGAGGTGTTTTGTTTCTTTGTCTCTCTGATCTTTAGGCAAAGTTTATTAGGGTACATACACAATTTATCACCATATTTGGGAACTCTCTTCTAGTTTTCAAAGTGCTTAACATATAAAATTATGATAATCTTTTGATGTAATTGATAAATCTATACTCATTCACATATAAATATGCATCTATCTCCGTACTTTATGTAGGGGTGTGTTTCACACATATACCAGTGTCTTCATCTATATGTGCCTTCATCAAATCACAAATTAAAAATAGTGTGCACAATAAGCCACAAAACTAACTGCTAAATGATGAAATAAATGCAATTTTCAAGGTGGTTTGGTGCAGTGACCTACAGAGAAAAACCACTATGGTACATATTATTATGTACTAATTTCAGAAAACTGCAGAGTCACATCATCAGCATCTCACTGGTACATTATAGATGTACTGTAAGTCTGTGTTGAAGTAACAAGCCAGAATCTGGCTTCTTTCATCTGTAAAATAGCTAAATGTTCATTTGTCACAAGGCTCCTCAAGCTGAAATTATTGCCATGATAACTATGGCCAGCCTCAAATGAAGTAATGTTTATAAAAATATTGGAAAAAACACAAAAATTTGATATCTTTAAAGTTTTAGAACAATTAACATCTATGATGAAAAAGTAACTATACCAGGAGAGTCCCAGGGTGTTTTTATTCCCAGACCCCTGCAGTGTTTCCAGACAGATTGCACACCTTTGATGTGGTGTATCAATACTTACAAAAACTCCAACAAGAAAAATCCCTCCTGTGAGGATTTAAAATTCTCCTTTATTAAGATCTCCACTTGCTACAACAGAAAGAGCAGAGTCTATCTATAATGTAATTCTAGTTTGTATGTATAACTTTATATAATGAAGAGTAATTCTTTGAAAACCCATAATGCCTTTGTAATTTATTCTTGCTTTTCTCTTTCATTTAAGTGATATTTGCTAGAAGCATCACTTATCAACTTAAATGGCAGTAAAGCTTACTTAATGCTTATTTCAAAACAATGTATACATATCTGAAGCCTCAGAATAAAGCTTTTCTAAAACAATTAATTTCATAGTAAGCTAAAATATGCTACATATTTATCTATCAATCAACATGGAATACATTATGTTAAGATTTATAATAAATTTAAATGGAAATATTATTGTTATTTAAATAATTTTAAATTATGCTTTTTGTTAAATCCTGTCATTTTGTTAGCTAAGTAGAAGCTGGATTTTAAATATCCAAAGGTTATATAGCCAATTAACAACCAAAATTCAAATTCATGTCCTAAGTCTTCCAATCTGCACAAAGACCTGTGAGTTATTTTTTGAAGACTTGTGTCTTTAAAATAAGATTAACTTCAGGTCTCTATCTAATTAGAAATGACAGTTATTTAAAAAAAAACACTTTATAAAATGTTGCCAACTAGCAACATTTTCTTCTAGTGTTATATTTCAATAACCTGCACCAAGTAAAGATTCCGCCTGTATAGAAGTGCCTTGCCTACCATGATAAGCAGTTGAAAAATACACATAAGCTGTATGAACCTGGCAGAATCCATCTGGAGAACCATCTGTGTGAGGACTCAAAAAAATCATCCCCCATCTGTTCTTTCATCTTGGCAAAGATTGCCAGCCCTGTCCTCACTCTATTATCTGACTATTTCCCTTCCCAATGGACCTTGTCTGTGTGTTTTCTTTAATTCCCCATTGACAACCTATATCTAATTTGCAAAGCACTCTCCTCATTTTTAAAATAAATTAATTTGTGCATTTAATTTATGTAACTAAGAAGCCTCTTGAGAAATAAAATAATTGAAAAGAATTGCAGTAATATTATAAGATTGTCAGAAAATTGAAATATACAATACCAATTTTTCTGAGTTATACTTAAGAATTTAACTATTTACCACTTAATTTAGAATTTAATATAAGTATAAATAAATATGTATCACAGCATCTCTGCCTCTCCATATCTGTTATCTTTCATGATGTTGTTTTCTAGAATGTTCTGCTTTTATGGTTTCCTCTAGAATCACCAAGCAATGAACTTTCATTTTTTCTCACATTACACTCTAAGATTTAACTCAAATTTTACCTTATCATCAAGATTTTCCTAACTACACATGTGATCAGTGCAGGCACATTCTACTCCAACAGTTTAGCTTTGCCTATATTCTTCAAACTTGTACCCTATTGTTCTTGATCTTTCACTGCATCTCATATCTTCATGTTTCTGTGCTTCCCCCCCCACAGGCGAATAATCTGCTTCTAGCCATCTGCACTGTGTCCCATTTTTCTTTGTATCATTAATATGTAGACCTGTAGCTCTATTTCCTATTGACTTAAGTATTTTTATTTAAAAAATCCAGATTCATAAATAACCTATTCAAATTAAAAATGACACTAAACATTAACTAAGGAATTGTATTTACTATGACTCTTACTCTGGAACAAATCCATGCTATATTTGCTATAGACTACATAAGATGGTGTTATCAGCCAGCACAAAGACTTCCAGTTAGGCCCAGCCAACTCTCTGAAGGGACAAGTATAGATAGAAAGTTTTCCAAACATACGGCATATTTCCATGATGTCAGATCTTATCTGAGGCCTGAGGCATTTCTAGAAATCTAATAATTGGTCATCATAACTGTGTGAAATCGATCTGTATCTCAAACAAAATATTTTGTTTCTATATCAATTTATTTAGTTAATAAATTTTAACAGAAATAGCATACCTAACTAGAGATTAATCACAGTTATTAATAAATAAGTATATAATACAAGATAGAAGACAAAAATAAATGAGCATAATTCTAAAGAATGTACACCTGTCATAAAGTAGAACAAAACTCCAGCTACATAAGGAATAAAAAAAAAATTGCTACATGTATCGAAAAATCAATTGAATCAATTGTTTCATGTTCTATTTGTGACAGATAAAAACCATGGACAGTTGTAAAGATGTGTATTTGCTTTAGGGATTAAGAAGAGTCCTAAATCTACTTACTGCAAAACTGTAGACTTTATGAATGTAAGAACTCTATTTTGTACATTTAAATTTTCCTCCAACATTATATTTTTATTGATTATTTGGGAATTTCACATAATTTTCCCCAATCACATTCACTTCCCAGTCAAATATAAGAACTCATAACTGACATAAGCTGATTCTCACCATTACTATTTCTGCAGTAACATTATTTTACTGCTACTTCTAACATGTTATTTTGATATTTACCACTACATAATCTTAGTTTATATATTATTTATTCAGTGTTTTTCTTCTTCCTCGAGTATTTAAACCTTCCAAGAATAGGAACAGTAACATTTTGGTATATTTTGTGGAAAAGGGAGAGCATGCACCTCTTTTTTTTTTTTTTTTACAAATAAGTATAGGGACCTCTTTAGATATCTGACCTATTTTCTATTTTAAAAACATCCTGACTGCTGAACCTAGTTCTTGATGGTAAAGACTCAACGATTCTGTATCTAATTTAGTGTTTGTTTTGAAGAACCTTGCAAGTATTACACATCTACAAAAGCCTTTCAAAAATAGTGAGAGTATAATTCAAATCACTATATTTCTTTTCTAGCTAAGAAAGTACAAGACATTAAGTTTTCTGCAGGTCAATTTCTAATTACCTTGGAGTCTGTTTCAGATGTATTTTATGTCCCATTACTTTCAGTATTAGGTGACTTTCAATTACTATAACAAAATACCAAAGATGTTCCACATGAAAAGAAAAATACAATTTTTTTCACAATTTTTAAAGATTCTGTCCAAGAAAGGCTGGATTTGCTTCTTTTGCGCCTACATCCAGTTAGATTATCATGGCAGGAAGTTAGGTAGCAAGGGGGAAAAATTGGAAGAGGTTAATGTCCAAACATTTCTTTTCAGGGTATGTCCTTAGCTAACTAAACACCATCTCATAAAGCCCAACCTTTTTTATAGCTAATTTACATTTCCATAGCACCATCAATGTTAAAGATTTCAACAACCTGCCCTCTGCACAACATATAAGAATCAGAGTACAGCATAGTCCTTTGGAAATTTCTTGGAGTCCAACATCACCATGATATTGGTAAGACTACTGTTTATTACTCTCATCAGCCAAAGTAGGAACCATATTCTGATGATTATCATTGATGCTAGTAATTCTGTATCAGTCATAGGTAACAAGCTTTCCACACTGGGCTTCAAAAAGGATGTACTTAGGAGCCTGTGAGTCTCTAAGATTTCTGGGAAAGAACTGCACCCCCAATTATTTTACTAGAACTATCAATATTGTTATCAGTACCAATATTGAGGGCAGTATTAGTTTCCTTGTATTTTTGTGGGCATCACTGACTTCCCTTCTTAGTGTGGGAGAGTCTGCTGACAATTGCCTGTCTGGAAATTTAGTGCTCAGTTTCTTGAGTAGGTAAAACTAGGGAGAGAGAGAACAAAAGCAGCTTTCATTTTAACCACGTCTTTTATTCCTTACAGAGTTGCCTGTGGACTTCAGTGTATGTCCACAGCAGCAAGGTTGAAGGGTGAACCAAGGGAGAACAGCGACCCTTTATCTCTGATGCTGACCTGCCATTCTTGAAACAAAACTGTATCACGATATCCTTAGAACAAGTCCTT